CGGTCCTATTTAGATATAAATCAAATTGAAATTTAAACGCCCATTGAATTAGGACCTAGGCAAGGTGGTGGCCATTAAATAGCTTAGTGAATCCATATACCGTATTTTTCCTACTCTGTACTGTGCGCCGTTACTATCGGACATATAGCACAGATTTTCCCCTCGGTAGGATCATTCTCGTCAGTGAATTCACATGTTCTAAAAATCGCTCTGCGATTTTTATAAATTATTTTAATTTAATTTTAATGCTATACTTAGCATTATAAATACGGTATATGGATTCACTAAGCTATTTAATGGCCACCATCTTGCCTAGGCCCTAATTCAATGGGCGTTTAAATTTCAATTTGATTAATATATTCCTTTCTCTATAATAAATATGATTGGCGCTATATCGACCCTATTTTATGATACATTCCAGTGCAATAGCATTGGATCCGGAAATTTTTTTCTGTGGGTGCAGCGAAATCATTCTCGACGGTATAGACGCGTTCTCCCTTTTTGCTTAACGATTTGTCAAAATTTAATTAGAGCGAGATGTAGCTCTGTCCTTTTGCATTTGGCCCCGTTAAATTGTGCAAGAAATAAGAAATGAAGATACAAAACGAATTAAGATGCACCGAATAAAAAACGATGCAAAAACGCGATCGGGTAATTTTCTCTCTCACTTGTCATTTTCGAGAACACTTAATATTTTAACATCGAGAGTTGTCCAATTGCCGACTCTCTTTGTACAGTCGACACGTTTTGTATTCTATCGTATTTCATCGAGTCCCTTTTTCTCAAACCAAACGGAAACTGCGTTTCGATGATATGATGTACATATATGTATACGTCGATGTATTTGCCGACAACGAAATTGCGCCGGAAATCCGTACATTCGCGAGTTGACTCTCTCTCTCTCTGCTGTTCGAGAGTAAATGAAAAAACGTACGTTTAAATAATTACAATGCGGAATTTGATATACACACGAGAGTCTGATTCCCTTTTACCTTAAATAATGACACTTGCGATACATATTTGTATTCCTGAATGACGAAAAAAGAAAAGTAAGACTCTGAGTCACTTGTAATTGCAAGTGTGAATTCGTTTACGGTGGTTGCAGCTATGCGAGGGGGGAAAAGCGCATACATTTGTCTGAAAACGTGAAACTCGGAGGGATTTCGTGCATAAATGTGCTTTTACTTCCAAATATTCGGTATCGCGCGAAATAAATTCGCTCGACGCGGCAGCGGGTTCGAGTCTTCGTCCGTCGCTGCTTAATGAGACGACTTGGTCGTTTCGTGCGTGCAAACACTTTCCGTGTAATCGCAGCACATTTCTCGGGCCACGCTATCGATCTCCTCTCAGCGGTGCAACGTTACGTGAATTAGATCGGCAGGTAGAACGCGGTAGAAATGCACGAGTACGGAATATGACGGTATACATATACGTACATATATATATATATATATATATCGAGCGCGGTCGAAGAAACGTTTTACGGGCCACTCGATATTACACGAACCGATAAGCGAATGTAATTTCTCGCATTTCGAGCAAAAGAAACGGGAGATTCCCTCTAGGTCAGATCTGTTGGAGCTTATCGCAAAGCGAGAAGGCAAAATGGCACCTAAGCTCGAAACGTTGCCAGAACCGACTGACCAAAGCGATTCGAGATGTTAATACGTTCGTCGCGGAAAAACCACGCGCCACACACACACACACACACAAATTATACGCGAAACAAGTATAATAACTCAAACTAACGATACTCGTAACGATATCGCCCGATCGAGATAAAGGTTCGTGTAGAACTGGGATTCTCGGACGATGTCCGCGATCGTGGGCAGTACTTGGTTTTTTTTTTCAAAGAAAGATCGTCCAATTAGTCCCATAGACTGTTCCATGTATAAAATTCAAAGAAATTAAAACAACGTGTTATATACCGTAAGTTTCTTCTCTCTCTCTCTCTCTCTCTCTCTCTCTCTCTCTCTCTCTCTCTCTTTCGCGATGAAAATACACGGAATGTATGCGAGTATCGAGCTTAGGGTGTAATAAAAATCGTTAAAATATCTTAAATGTTGAGGAAGCTCGCTCGTGGGCGTGGAATTCTTTTCAAATACTTTCCAAACGCCTACCTTCTCTTCCTCGTAAATTAAACGCAACTATACCGAATATACTTGTGGTGCGTTTTATACTTTTTATATTTTATATATTGCACGTGAGTCGTTTATCGTTGTCCAAAAGTGGCCAAGTTATCAATGTTTATTGTGTTATATTATATATGAAATCGTAAATCGTTTCTTTTCTCTCTCTCGTTTAAATTTAAAATATACTAAGGATATGAGAAACATCGAGTGTTATAGTTTGATAATCTTGAAACAGTGTAATTTTCAAGTAAATTGATTAGAATTTCATTTCGACAATTTTCAAACGTTTCTCCTTCCTACCGGAAGCTCAACGTAGAATTTTGTAAAGCGCGCATACGCACGTTTCGCACTTGCGCGAGAATAAACGGAAGCAGTGCGCAATGACGAACCAATTTTCAGTTCTGTTTTGCAAACTAATCAAATGTTGGCACATGCAAAAATATGCTCCGACTCTATGTGAAAGAGAAACGCATACAACACAGATTTTTGACCCGACACCAACACCGGCACAGAGTATTAAAGGAAAGTCCCCGATTATGAGATAGCAGGTTTCCAGCATCCAAATTCAATACGAAAAATCTCTTTCCGCAACTATTACGCGATCTAACAATGAACTTTTTAAACAAATTCGCGGTGGAACCAACGGATGACGCCTATTGACGTAGTAGAAACCCCGCTATCTCTTATCAGAAGCCAATCTCACAACAGGGGACTTTCCTCTATCTCTAAAGCCCGTATCAGACTACGGATTGGGATTGGGATTAGATTGAAATTTAACCAATCACAGTAAAGTTTACTAATCTCAAGTTCAGTAACTTTTACTCTGGTTGGTCAAATTTCAATCTAATCCCAATCCCAATCCGTAGTCTGATACGGGCTTAACGCGGCGTCAATCAATCAATCAATCATAGTCGAATGCGAAGAGAATACTCGACCGTAATCGGTCAACTTCCTAAATCCTACCTTGTCTTGAAATCTCACTGTCGACGCCGCGTAATGCGCTTTCGCAAAATTGGTTACTGCGGAACTCACGGTGTATCGACAATACATTTCTCACGGCACTTACCGGCATTCCATGATCGCGAATTTCGAGGCACGCCGCGTCGTACGCCGCCGAGCCACGACGCCGAACTAGAGGCACGCCGAGTAACGTTGAATGAAAACAGGAAAGAAGCGAGCAAAACAACCCCACCTCCGTGCGCGAATTCCCGGAACAGGTAACGTTCGCTCGCCCGCTCGCTCGCGTCGAAGACGGAAGAAAAACACCCCGGCCGGAAACAAACAACTCACCCCATCCCACCGTACCGCGCCGCACCGACTCATTGCCGAGAACGCTTCGAGACCGCGACGAAGTATGTACACGTCTCGATATCGCCTTTGGATTCTCGCCGGGCCGCGTATACTCACTTGACGGTGTAACATTCAATCGGCCGCGTTCGACGCCCTCGACGACATCCGCGAGCGAACGTTAGTTTGGCGCCCAGCGCTGGATCGGTCAGTATGGCGTCGGAGACGCGCGTTGAAAAGTTTTGTTTCAACAAGTACGTGAGCCAATCAACTCGCAGCTTTTCCGCCGAGTTGATTGGCCACAGGCTTAAAGGCCCGTGTCCACGGGGCTAGGAACTTCGCTCGCTAGTTCCGGGAACCGTGTGAGCCAATCGGCTCGCAGCTATTCCGTAAAAGCGGCGAGTCGATTGGCTGCTACACGTTTCTCGAAACTAGATTTTCGAGCGCGCTTGAGGCGTCGTGAAGACGGGCCTTTACGGACGCGTCGTTGGCTTCTTGGCGGGTTCCACGCATCCGAATCATGGTGGTTAAACGTGATGTGATCCGCGAATGCAGGTAAGAGCCTTTTCCCCGTCGCTCCCTCGCGATACCGAAGATTCGACGGATGGAAGGGCGAGACTTGTTCCTGCTCTTCGAAGCGAGGCGAACGACGAAAGCCTCGCTCGTCGGTTTGTCGAGTGCCTCGACAATCCCCCCGTCTCCGCGCGTCTCGGCGAGCGACGTTCCAGCATACTTTTCTCGCCTCCGCCTCGCTCGGGTCTGCCGACGTAAATCGCGTTAACGGCGCCGAGAAGCTCGATGGCGCAGCCCGGGAGATGCGTTACGCGGAAAATGTACATGTACGTTCGCGCGCGCGAAGCGAAGATGGCGGAGCTCGGGAGACGCGGGAAACGTACATTCGCGGAACGACGCGACGATCATAAAGAGACCACGAACGAGAGGAATCGAACCGTGCCGTGACGCGCCAATTCACTTGCGCCGCACCGAATGCTCGAGGGGAGGAGGCAAAAGGTATACGTTCCACGCGTGACAAAGTTTCCGAAGAAACCGTTATTTTCCGCCGTTTAACGGCAGTTTCTGTTGAAGCGAGCTTTTCAACTACTTTGACTAAATTAACTCCCGTAATTTCGACTTGTTTCTTCTCCAATTCTCGAATTACAAAATCAACTCCACTTCCATCCCGTTTCTGTTCCGCGAGGCATTCAAAGCTGGAAAAGAATTTGCCTTTATGTCACCAATCCGGGGCTCTTTGTCGCACACACGAGAAATTGGCCTGTATTCGAGCTAACTTAAGTTGCCTCCGACAAGTCGAAAGGTATAACTCGCATGGAATTTTTCAGTCGCTGAAAGGAGCTTCTTTTCAGTTGATTTTGAATAGATTATGTTCATTCACAGAGCATTGAATAGCAAATCCTTTGCGAACTCGCGACAAACGCCTGCGCTATTTGAGGATCCATAAATAAACGCTGCGGCTATATTGGTCGATTCATTAATTCCATATGGTATTATTAATGCCTGGACCTCGTAATAAAAAGTATTGCGATACATTACGGTGTAACACAGTTTGTACTTGTGCTACAGGAGTCGCGGCCGGTCAACGTCCGCAGCTCGCACCAATGCACTACACGACGAGTTGTTCGCACGATGATGAAATCACGCACGGAACGGACGTCCGTAGGATTGACGACGCAACCGGCAGCTAGACAACGTTTCGGGCAACGCTACTTGCCGGAGGTGAGTGCCATCCGGTTAATTGGAAGCGACGAGAAGCCTCGTGGCTTCTCCCGGAAATCGTGCCCCTTATCTCGGCAGATGTGGGCGCGTAAAGCCCAATGTCCACGATGCTAGAACTTGGACCAAGTTCTAGCATCGTGGACATTGGCCTTAAGTGGGATATTTCTTTTTTCCCCCCTTCCTTCTCTCATCGACAGGTATCCGTTGACGAGCTCACAATGCGGCTTGGAAGGGCGCGCGTCGTCGCAGCGAGAGCAACACGCACGCTGTGTCCAGCAGAAGTTAGTGCTTGCTAAGCGCTTTGCGTTCGTTGGATTATACTTTCAGATCTGTGCTGAAATAGAGCTGTTCTTCTAGATCTATCCAATCAGCATAAAGCGCTTATTAAGCGCTAACTTCTGGAGAACACAGCCAATAATTGGAGATACGTGTGAAAAGTTGCGCCGACACGCTTCACGCGAGTGTAACATGCGATTCTTTGATATCGCTCCGCGACCGCCGCTTCTCCGCTTCGTCCCGCTTTTACGTCTAAATAACACGCGGAAATATCGGTGCGTCTTCCGCGCGACGTGTGCGGATAAACGCCGCTGGCACGTATCGCATCAAATTCCAAGCGACGCACGTAAGTTTGATGATTTTTAACCACGCGGCGCGCGATAGCCGGAAGCGAAGGCGTACACACCAACACGCGTCAGCGTCAACATGCCGCGTTTAAGCACGTATTTTTATTCCATCTCCGAAGACACGGAGCAACGCTTGTCCGAGGTCCGCGAGAGCGCAAAATATTATCTCGGCGAACAGGGCTGTTTCGTTCTAATTATGTGTTACCTTTTAATCAACTCTGTACATATTCGCGCGGAATATCGCTCGTATCTTTACTAAAATTACCCTCGTGAGTCTGTACCCTGGAATTCTCCAGTCATTGCACAGGGTTTGACGAAATTTTACCTTGAGAATAATATTTATTCAAATCTTGGGCGAAAATTAACTTCTTATACTCTACGTCAGAACCGGGACTTAGACATTTTGGACGTTCGAGGCCGAAGATAAAAGCATTTCTTTTACGGCACATAAAATATAATAGAAATAATTTTTCTTACAACAATTGCCATTTTTGCGCCCCTACGAATCTTTTATACGAGGCTAAGCGCCACGCCCGGCTCTGCTCTACGTCAAGTCGAAACCTAATGAGACTCCACGCGTTGACTCTTGTCGCGAAGATAGTGAGACTATCGAAGAATTAAATCGCCGCGAATATACGTAGTAGCGAACGGAGTATTATTCTTAGTCGCAAGCAATATTAACTCGAAACTTATTATTCATATCTCATGGTACTCTATGACATGCTGTGCAGTTGGAAATTAAATTTCGAACACGGAAATCATGCTTTACCGCTTCTTGTTAGTGTCAAATATATACGGTTGAATAACGTGACGTAAAATGCTCTTTGTCGTTTGCTTCACAATCCACGTTGCCTCGCGAAGGACTATCCAAACTCTGAGAATGATCACGAATGTTTCTTGGCGTGGAAAATCCCTCCCTTTCATTTCGTCATAAATAATGTGGAAACTCTTATACACCGGGCGTAGTTTCGCGGAGCGAAGGTAAATTAAATTTTACGATTTTACGCGCAAAGTTAGCGTATATGAATAAAAAGCAGAGGAAATTGCTTCCGTTTACCTATGACACATATTTCTCTCATCTTCTCGTCGATTGATACGTCTAGGTTTTTAAAAAGGGTTATTTGTTTAAAGAAAATATGACTTTCAACGATGATTTGATGTACGAGCATATTCCTAAATGCTGGATGGCAATAACCATCCAATATTATTAACATTAACGTATAAACGTGGGAAATGTATATTGGCAGATGAGCGGGAATAATTTACAGTCTCGTATGAGTATTTCGAGGTTTTTGAGCTTGTTTAGAAATGACGGAAACGTTATGCGGGAATGCACTTCCGAACCGGAACACGTATGCATGTACGTAGATATTTCCGAATAGCGCGAAACAAAACAAGACGTAATTGTCACGCTGGGAGCCGCATACGACATTAGCGTGCAAAGTAGGAAAACGCGTCGAGCGAAGTAACCGGAGATAAAAAAAAGCGAGCGCTTTGTTTAAGCCCTCTTCCTAGATTTTCCATTTACGTACGTGTCGCGCACGGGGTAAAATACTGACCCACTCGTGAGTTCGGTCCTGGCACTAATTAATACCATGGGCCACCACAGGTTCGTAACGCAAAAAAAAGGGCTGTACAGGAATTGGACGGGATATAATTCGTCGAGTGAATTTATTTCGTAAACGTGGAAGTGACATCCGTTATTGTTACCGTACATTCGATACGGGGCATTCGCCTTTGCGTGTTAAAATTGTCTGCAAAAACGATAGAGAGGTGAAGCGCGATACGCAGATAAATACACGGGCAAAGTCGGTCATTTGGCAATATTAAAATTCTAACGTGAATATAAGATAAATATTACAAGTAATGCTCAGCATTAAATTGTAAGAGAACAGAGTGGCCTGTTACTGACCTGCATCGCGAAGAAAGCGCTTTATCGAACGCTATAAAAAATTTGGTTTATTGGAAAATTGATCATTTCGAGCGACACTTTCGCAAAATACTCCCGATTCGGAAACGGCGTCCCACTTGGAACTTGGATTTGAATCTTTCATCGTACATTAAAAGTTATCTGTATAGCATAATGACAGGACGAGTATAATTTGGTTTATAACGCAGCCGTAGTTGTATAATTGCGATAAGCGGAGCTTTATTGAAATTTTGATATTTGGGGGGTGAAATATGGCAATCTATGTCAGACTGCAGAAGTGAAAAGTTGTCGATGAATAAGTTAAAAGGAAATGTACAATCGCTTTTAAATGGAATTTGTAATAATGATGACAATGTCCGTATTCATACTCGTCGGTTATAGCCATTAGCATTTCAATCTTTCAGACTGTAATGCAGACTCGTATGTCTGATTACAAGACGATATTAACTACCGCACGCGTGGGCGACGCGAGCGTCTACTTTTCCACTGCGCGCGCAGTAGTATTATGGCATTACCGGCCGCAACGTGAATCTTGACCAAGAAAATTGCATACACAGGCAGATGCTGCATAAAAGTCGTCCGTAAATGCGTTTGCATATCGTTGCCGCGAAAGCATACGCCAGTGAAAATCGAAGATCCTCGTCCATGTTCACGTGTAATCGGTGGCACATGAAATGGCTTAGGTCGTGGAAATATCCATTGCCATTAAATAGCGTTGCGTCACGTAGATGCCGATAGAAACGGTCGCTTTGTGTTGCGACAAAATGATTAAAACTGCATAAACATTGCGGTTCAGTGCAGCGCATGCGATAAATGCATGCACAAATAACTTTTTTCCTCGCGTTTTTAAACAAGAGGCAAAAGAGCCACATTCGACTTTACCCGATGAAAGCTTAATCACGTCTAGGCTTATCGATTGTTTGTTCATTGGCCGTTAAGTTAATTAACATTCTTCATTCATGTACCGCACTGTGCTTTCCCGCAAGCTAACAACTGTTAAATTATGTTGTCAACTACGTCGAAAGTACCTCAGGTCAAGAACTTTCGACGTTCACGCATTTATTAATGAATCGAGCATTTCTTGCCTTCTTGCCTTTAACGGGTTACTATAACATGTATCTGATACAGTTAGAATGCGCTAACAGCTTTACATATTGCATATTCGTGACAATTCTCTTGTTGCCATATCAAATGCGCGAGAAAATCTATCTTTATCGATTTGTAACAGTAGCGCTTATATTATAGTTATAAATATTCAAAACCAACCAGATAATATTTTGCAATTGACGTCATTTAATTTTATAAATGATTAAGGTGTCAATCAGCATTTAAAGGGTGATCAATTCCGATGAAAAGTTTTGCATTTTCTGAGAAACAACGTACATTGCGAGAGAGAGTAGGAGTGAAAGGGATGTTATATTTCTTCTCTCTGGATTTCCCATTTACCTTATATTTACATAAGTCACGTACGTGTTGTGAAACCACGCATCGTAGAAGCTTACCAAACTCGCCGCGAACAAACCGAAACTTGTCCAGCGATTGTTGTAACTCTCGCAAAAGTAGATCCTAACGTGTTACTACATCCCAAAGCTACACACTAACAATAAGCCATGTTATCGTTTGGAAGATTCTATAGGTATATCAGGTATCTCCTTTCCAATCAGACAAAAGAGGAAATTTTTAACTGAGATATAGTGTAATTGAATGCGAGTAGATTTAATCATACATTTGCACGTATTGTTTGCTTATGAATTGCCAAATTACCGTAAGTTTACTCTCGCGATCTTAAAAATGCACATAGAATTTTCAGATTACATCGTATGGACGAATATATCGTACTCAATTCTTTACATAAATTGGTCAATTTTGGCGCATTCTATTATAATTTGGAATGTCGATATCCGCGCTCTTCGGGACATGAGATGATTGAGATCGCATTTGAAATGGCAAGATTGTCCGGATTCCCTTGGCCTTTCGCGATATTGAAAATCCTCTTGGCGAAAAGTTGCCCGGAAGAAAGAGGCGGCCGTGTGATATGAATTTATTAAAGATCTGGCACAAATATCCAATGTCTTTCGTTGCGGGTCAAACGGATATAGGCGAGACCCCTCGGTTTGTTTCAAGGGGAATTTCTGCCGAAGCCACATAAGGAAATGATGCGATATTGGTTCTGGTCCACGGCAAGATTATAAAAAGATATGTTTAGTAAACCTTCCCGTAAAAGTTTATTCGTTGAAATACGCATTGCGCATGAAATATAAGACAAGATGGCATCGATTACGAATGTATTATTCATTTTTCGGGATTCTTGGAAAAATAATCATATACTGATATTTTATCTATTTATATGTACATACTTTCGGATACAATTACACTTCATTTATATATTAACGACATAACGACAACGTACTTTTATTAAAAAGTTTATCGCGAATAATTGCTTTTAT